CAAAGTCGACGTGTGGCATGGCCATTACATCGCTGGCCCGTTGCTGCATCGGAAACTCGAAGCTTTTCTTCACACGCCGATCAATGTAGCTGTCGCCCGGTTCCAGCTGCGGCAGCCCATACGCCTCGCTCCTTCTCGAAGGAGCCGTGGCAGCAGTCGCAGATGCTGCGGTTGTAGTTTCGTGCAACTGAAACTTGCGCTCGATTTCCGTTATCAACTCATCCTGTTCGGCCAACAATTTGCCGGTAAAATAGCTAGGCGTAGATTCCATGCCAGAAGTTACTGTCAACGGGCTCGTTGCCTGATTGATCCTTGGCTTGTCTTCCTCCACCTCGTTGGGCATTAGATTCTGTCCGTACGCGTCAGCATTATCGCTTCGTATCATCGGCTGAAAATCCTCCAGCTGCACCGGATATAGATCCACAATATTCAGCTTGCTCGCCCCCATTGCTGGCTGCTGGGCCAACAGCGCCCCATAGCGTGTGCGCTCATCCTCATTCAGATCGGCGAGTGTCTCGGCCACCTGATACGATTCTGCCGCCTGCATTTGTATATGTATTGGCAGAGCTGACGAGTCTCCGGTGTCCTCCTCCTCCTCCCCCTCCTGCTGCTGCTGCTGCTGCTGCTGCTCCATCTCTGCCGCTGGCTCGCTTAGCCTAATGCGGTAAAGCCTGTCAAAAACGCCGCTCAGCGATGCGAGTGGCGGCACGTTTGTCGTCATTAGCTTATCCGCCGTTGTGGCTGCTGCTTCCGTTGTTGCTGCTCCTGTGGGTCCAGTTGGAATTGCATATTCTTGTGCTGTTGTTGCTGCGGCAATCTTGCCAGCTTCATTTCCGCTTGAAATGGCCGGGGCTGCTGTAGCTGTTGCTATGGGCGTGGTCGAGGCAGAGGTGGTCAGCACGCCCACAGACCCAATTTGTATTTCCGATAAAGTTTTCGTTGCGTCTACGCCGGGGGCACTAACCACTCCGTGGGCGTGGCTGCTGTGCGAATCATTTGTTATGGTAAAAGTTGCTGATGTTATTGGCGTTGCTGTTGCAGCCTCGCCCGTTTGTGCCGCCGTGCCACAAACTGTGCAGGCAATTACAAATGTTAAAATGCACATTTTAGCTATTTTCGCTAGCATTTTGGAAACTATTTTGCCGCCTGTGGCTCTGGTAACAAGTTGTTCTTATTCTAAATGTTTTGCCTTTTCCTTTAGTTTGTTGCCGCTTGTTGACTTCATCTGCCTCGGCTCATGCGGATGCTGCAACAAGGGAAATGAAATTGCGAAAAAAAATTAGTTATATTATTGAAAGCCATTTACATCTTAATCTGAGCCACTTAGCTTGTGTTGGACAAAGAGAGCAAAAAAACAATCTAACAAAGTTTTTAGACAATTAGCTCAAATTCTATTTATCAAGCAGAATATTCTGCAGTCTGGCGGTTACCACAAAGAGTGACTGGCTCAAATGATACACTGGGTGGAGAAGCTTGCCAACAATTCAAGATTTTGGCTTCTGGAGCCTTTCCCTTTCAAATGAAATTAAAATGAAACTTGCTGCGTATAAGCTCTGATGTGTTTACAGCAGTTTTTATAGAAATCATGGGCCATGAAAAAGTCTGTACCATCTGGAATTGCGGCTTATTCAAAATTCTTCTTAGCCATCTGCAGCGTTGACTTCCCCTGAGCCAGGTAAAGATTTTCAGCAGTTATGACTGCATAATGTTGCCTAGCTTTATGTTAATTTTAAGAGGAAAAACTGACTGATGTTAGATGCCATTAATGCCTAACAGCCTACATTCTAGAAAGGGACTCCCTGGTCGAAACCTAAAAGAGAGTTCACATTTTTAACAGACCCTAGCCCCCAGGACTGGTACAAAGTGACAATGGCTTCCTTTCAAGTTGCAGTCTGATTGCCCGCCCTCGGCAAGCAAGGCGCACAGAAGTGCAGAAATCTGCTTAAGTGGAGTCTTGTACACGACTCCAGACTCCTAGACTTTGGGATGAAAGAAAAGAAGCAAAGCAAGAGCCTGCACAGAATCCTTTTGGACTCCAATGGACGGTGCTATAAATTTACTAGATTACACCCCTTGAAACGGGAAACTGTTCTAGATTTAAAAGTTAAGTTCACATCAAGGAGTAAGCTGTTTTTGCCTGCTTAGATGCAATATGAGGTATGGCAACATATTCATTTTCAGGTATGCCTTTTTAATTTAACTTAAATTAAAGCAGGTGAATAACAACAGCTAGAAACGCTCTAGTCGATGGCGTTTCACCTCCGCAAAATCTCATTATTTCCTAAAGTCAAAGCCTGCAAGTCATTGCCTTGTGGTTATTTTGTCGAGCATATTAACCCAATCGTGAAGAGTACAACTTTTTGCCTTTTGAATATTGTTTTCTAATCTCAAAAACAATGTTTGCTGTTTGTCGTACTGTAAATATGTTTAACAAAGTGCTAGAAAAAATTCTTACTCGTAAGTCTAATTCACAAATGAAATATAGAGCCCATTTGAAATGTTCTATTTACCATAAAAAAAGAACCATGTGAAAATTGCTTATATAAACAGGAAAACGTAAAAATGCTTAGCTGCAGAAAAATAAAAATGGCACACAAGTAGAAAGGATGCCTGAGGATGAGTCTGACTGCGCAACACCCTGCTCACAGGTTAATAATATTTAAAAATAAGCTACAAAGCTAAAAAAAAATCGATTGATGAAAAAATTGGGCAGTCACCTTTAAGCTAAAAGAAGAGAAGATTTCTATGATTTGTAAGGCCTGAAATAGGTGCATATTTCGCATGTGTTTGCTGCTTGTAAGCAGAGTATCATTTTTACGAGTTGTGAAATTTGAAAAAAGAAATAAAATAAAAACGTACCCGCAGAAAATCGGTTAGCGAAAAGATTGTAAGGACTATGCGAAGTTTGTTTGTTGCTGTTTTGCTTTTGTAATGTGTGCAAACAGTTTCAGCAAAAAGGAAAATGTAAATAGAAATAAAGATGAAGCTTAATTAAAAATGCGACCAAGCGTGATATACACTCCGCACTGAGCCACCTAAACGCACATAAATATATTCCCAACCGCAAAAAGCGTTGCGGATGGGTCCAACCGACTGCGCAATACTCTGTTCAAAGGAGCATTGACTACGGATAGTATGGCCCTACAAATGTTTTTTGAAAGCAATCTGTGAATTTTTGGATATACTCATGTATTTATACGGCTCATGATGGATTGGGGGAATAAAATACATATAATATATATAATAAAATATCGTAGAGACCCTGCAGTATCTGCAATGTTCGTAGGGATTTGACCTAATGCATTGGTAGATATATATATACGTTGCACAAAACAAGTATACCCTTTCAGCCCTGTGAACAGTGTATAAAGTATGGCTGGGTGGGAAATAAATGCGGGCAGCGATAGGATGTTGCTGATAAACTTACATTGGCTACGTAATCGTTTTCCTCTATATGCGTTTCTTTTATTTAGAAATGTTTTTGTTTGGGGCCGCATATTTTGGTGGCACGCAAAATATTACTTTGAAATCGTACAGTTGCAAGCACGGCGCTCATAAGCCGAAGGAGGCTGCCCCACGCAATTGCACATTTTTAGGACGACAACAAAGGCGAACAGGACGAAGCTCTTTTATTCAGCTCTGAGCTAGAAAAATTTCAAGTCAAGTGCCGGCAAGTCGTTGCTTTGTGAAAACGAGTCCTATTCAAGGCATGCCAGGGAGAGGTGAGCTCCGCCGTGAGCTAAGAACAAGCCAAACGAGAGCGAACCGAACATGAAATACCCTTGCGTCATATTTTCAACCAATTCTCATAATAAAATTACTAATCTGCCAATTGTGCCTAACATATATGAACTATATCAAAGAGTTTCGATAGTATGCTGTTCATAATTCAATGAAAAAGTCAAGACTTCTCTAGTCGAGAGTGCCCGTTGAGTAAATACCCTATACACATGGCCAAGTGTCCGTAACAAACATTGGAGCTTCCTTTTAAGCATTCACAAAAACACAGACAAACACAGCACGAAGCACGTAGTTGCATAGAAAAGCGTTCCTGAATTAGTTCAAAGTCTGATCTTTATAAAACTAATAGACCAGTTCCCTTAGAAACATTCAAAAACAAAAGGCAGCAGCTATACAATTACACTGAATGGGAATTGAGAAATCTCCTACAGTGAAAACATATAAAATACCCTCTGCAACGATTTGAGCACCACTCAAAACGGAATGTCAATGTGTCGATGATTACTATCAGAACATATTATTCAGTTTTGCCCCACGGTGGCATTGCCTGTGATGTAGTTGGAGTGTGCTACTTTGCGAAGAACTCACATTAATCTTTATTTTTATACCACAAAGATGAAAAAACATGGCCCAAGGAGGAAGCGGAACGAGTACAAGTATCCAGTTTAAAACGTTTTTTGCTTAGCATTAGAGCGAGTTAGAAAGGGGGACACATATTTAGTAGGTCGCGCTCAAGAATCTTAAAGCTTAAGCCACTCGAAATACATTATATGGCTGCCGTTTTTTTCTTTTTTACGATTCTGCAGTTTATGACGCTTGTGAACAACAGGACGGAACTCTGAACATTCCCACCGTAAGGGTAGTAAACAGTTTTTATATAAATATATATATCAGCAGCGTGTTTCTAAACTAACGCAAAATGCAACCGCTGATGAGAAGGAATCCACTCAAGACATTAGGAATGAAAAGTTAAGGTGAGGGAAAATTTGGAAAAAGTTTTTATAACATGTATCTTATAGACCTTTAAAATATCTAAGAAAAATTCTATATTATAGAGAAGGAATCCATTTAAGGTAAAGTTCGTTACAAAAATATTTGTCCAAATTGGAATAAACTTTTATGACATATAGACTTTTCTTATAGAATTTTTAAGCATAACAAATATGCTTTAAATTTTAAAGAAAAATTATTTGTCAAACATTTCAGTCAAAACTTTAATTTCCATTCAACAATATTTAAGAACTACTTACAATCAATTGGAATATTAATAATATTAATCGTTTGGAATATTACCGAGCTCTAACTCCCTCGTTTCGTATACTCTATTCGCAATAGTAAAAAGTAAGTGTATTGGGCTTGTGCAATATCTAGCAAAGCAGTTTGTGCAAATCGACTGCAATTTTCTTTCTTTTTTAAGGCCTCTAAAATCATTTTGATATCTAAGAGCACACGATTTCGACTGCGCAATACTCTGTACACTTTGCACTTATAGCTTACACTGGGTTAAACGGAAGACTATTTTCAAACTATGACTAGGAGATATCGATTTTGGCAATTCTTTGAGACAGGCTATGGGCGTGGCCACAATATTTATAGCACTCATATTTAGAGGAGGTCACCAATAGGCCTCGTGCCAAGTTTGGTGTCTACCACTCGAAATATGTAAGACAATATTTGGGTGTGCCCAAAAATATATAAATGGGGTATTTCGAAAGCAAATGCAACTCTTTATCCCTTTGTGAATAGGGTATTAATAGAGCAGTTATTCTTACAGATTTAAATCAGACTTGTAATGTTTTCCGTATCGAATCGCTGATAAGATTTTTGCTCATGTGAGAAAAGCATACTGCAGCTAAAATATTTTGAATACAAAATTAGTATAATCGAGTTTTAAAACTGAGAGAAAAGTTAAGCTTATGTAAAGCGCACGGATCCGACGGCCAACGGATCGATTTAAGTTTAAGTTTAATTCGAGCATAATATATTTATATCTATATATATTTAAGTTTATCTAGAAAATATATCCATTTTGTGGTCGTGGACGCATTCTACTCGACATCGGAAAATTTGACACAATTTTATAGTACGCTCAATTAATATTTAAAGCTTCGATCTGCTAAGTTATGATGACAAAAAGAAAAGGATTAATTCTTAAAACTATTGCCTCGTAATTAGTGTGATTTAATGCATTTTTTATTTACTTGAATTGTTCAGCTTTCCAGTTATTATGATTTAAACAATACATAGTTTCACCAATCACTGAATTTGTATACGTTCTTTAGTCGTAGCACTATTTTGATTTATATTATATATTTTATGCAACTCTTCAGTTATTTTCTTATTTATATTTTATTTGAAAAGTACACAAACTTCTTTTGGAGTGCAAGTAATTAAGTACCACAACTGCCCAATTGTTTACAAAAATGCAAACAATTGAAACATTCGGAAATCACAATTAGATTTGTTGGCGCGATGCTCTGCTGCTCTCAGCTCTTGTTTTTGCTATCTGCTTGTCCAGAGTCTGGCGCTGACCAACCGTGAGGATTGAAATCTACTCCGCTACTGAAGCGGTCTCGTCCGCAATGCAATGGATGCTGCGTCATCTAGATGAAAGCTTTGCCTTTTGCCATAAACACACACAAGAGTCAATTTTCTCTCCGCCTTTGAGCATGCGCACAGCATCCGTGCTACTGTTTTGGGTTTAATTTTGGGCCATTTGCCGAGTACGGGTACAAGTTCGGGCCAGAAGTGTTTCAAAATTACCCAAAACATTTACGTACAGCTGTTTGGCATCAGCTGCTGCGGCATTTGGACAGCAGAAGGAGCTCGAAGGTTGCTCGATTCGCAGTCATTTACCATTATTATTTAATTTAATTTTTATTACATTTTTATCATTTATTCATGTAATGCATAGTCTTTGTCTGTGATTGCCTGAATTCTCGACTTCTTTCCGTTGCAAAGGTTCACTGAGGAGCAAGCTTTTCATTATGCGCCCTAATGTGTGGGTAATGCATACAAAAGTCCTAATGGATGCCCATGTGGGCGATGCGGGAGAGCATTGACGTCTGGTCTTGGCTTGCGCAAACATAATGCCAAAGCCTTTTTTTTATGCTCGCTGCACATTTTGTGCAATCTCTGTCCGTCTGGTCGTTTGTCTATATGCGTGCTATTTTCTTTTTAGCCGCCATTGAAGTCCTTTGAATGCAAGCTCGTGTAAGTCCGCGTTAAACAAAGTGTTTAAATTGTTTGTTGAAGCCCGCCAGGGCGCTACTTATGGCCTTTCCTCACTGAATGCAATTATCAAGAGGACTTTCAGCTAAAACCTTTTAAACTTTCACAAAATTTAATGCTTAGAAGGCCTTTCTACAATCACATAACGTAGCTTCTGCATTCGTTTGCAGCTATCGGAAAGGCGAGTAGGACTCTTAAGGTTTGCAAGTATGTATAATAAAAAAAAAAAAAGAATACATCATTTAATGAGACCAGCTGTCCCGCTGTTTGCCTGCAATCGAAAAGTTTATTAATAACAAACACGAGCTGGCAAACCAGGCGGCGTTTTTCCGGTCACGTTCAAACAAAGTAATTTATAAATTTTAATTAAATTATGAGTGCAGCCCGCAGAGTGAGTGTAATTATATTTAAACAGCAGCCAAAATGTGTTTTTATATTAAATTTAAACAAGCGTGAGCGCCTTAGTCTAGAGTAACCGGCCATGAGATACCCTGCAACCAAAATAAATAAATTGAATATAATTTGTTCAAACCTTTAAACCTTTAAACGCATTTGCTGCTGATCAAGAATAGATATACTTTATAGAAGCAGCGAACACCCCTATTACACCCCCTTTCAGAGCGTACAGGGTATTAAGTGGAAAAAACCGCCAAACCAGAATCGAGAACCAAACACCCAGCGGCGGGCAATATGCTCGACGTAATCCGCGTTGTATTCGCAATGTATGCTTCTACGGAGCTGCTCATGTAGTGCATTATACACCAACAAAATCAACGTTATGCAAATTTAAATTTAAGCATAATAGAGAAAGGGACTCACCATTTTTACACCCATAAGGAGGGTATTTTAATTTGTTCAGCTAATGTGTAACACATGGAAGTGCCACCCGATAAAGTTGACAAATTTTTTGTCACCTTTCTGTTTCAGTCAGTCTAGACGGATATATTATAGAAAGCATTGTATGTTTTTAATGAATCTTTTCATGACTCAGTAGAGAAATGTTGAACTCTTCTCTATGTGCGTAAGGGTCTTCAAACTTCGGTCAACCCAAAGACAACAGTTTATTCTTGCTTGTGCATAGAGTATATTTTCTATTCCCTTGCAGCTATATGAACATGTTTGGGTATGCTTGTGCTTTACATATATCCAGCAAACAACAAATATTTGTAATGAGCCTATTAAGTCATATTAAAGCCCAAGTACAGCCAATTTTATTTAGAAAAAAAAAGGGAGGAACTCTCAAATTTACACACATGAAAATGTATTAAAGCCCTGGCTACATATGCGCACACATGGGGCAATAAAGGTAATGCAAATTGCTGCCAAAATGTGGATATTATAAATTAGACCGTCAGCTGGCTTAACAGCAGATGAACTGAACAGGCTCCTCTGAGCCAACATGCATATATTAGGCCCTGGATTTTAGTTATGGCACACGCCATGTGCCTTACTCTTACCCGAACATATTTCTACATATTAATTATATTTCCGTTTTCTCGTAGTTCCTTCTTTGTATACCCTGTAACTAAAAAATGGGTAAGAGGACGGCAGTTGTCAGTCTAAGTATGTTAAATGGAGGTTCATTTGAATTACAGGTTATTCCCTCAAAACCGATAAATATCGATTGGCTGCACTTATCGAGTTAACCAGACTGGAGTGAGGGTATGTAAGTGCGAGCATATGTTTTAGGAGACTTGGAGCTGATTTAAAGGGTATCTCGTAGGCTATCTGAGAACTATCAAGCTGCAAATCTTACAAAATTATATGTGTCACAAATAAAATTTGTTTCCTATACAAATATATGTATATATAATTTGTCGGCCGAACAGAACTAACAATTCAGAGTGCTTGAAATATGTCGCTACTTAAACTATTTCAAATCCAGCTACCCTTTGCAAGTAGGTCCTTTTCGCTAAACCACACTGTAGATTTGCGAACTTGTTTATTTTAGAAGAGAATCTCAATATATATGCAGCTGTCAGACTGATCCGCCCCTTACTGAGGAGTCCCATTGCTCAAGTTGTCATTTCCTTTGCGGTGGGCTATTATGCAACTACGAAGCTAGCCCAGATTTATGCACTATTCGCCAGGCAAGCTGATAAGAGTCCCACGAAAGTGGACTACCCTTCGCAACTGGCCACTGATTGCCGGGACAGCCAGGCTAATCTCAGAGACCGGCTGCCTCCGAAGTGTGAGGCTCTGCGGCTCACCCGTCGACAGTTGACGGCCTACGACGGAATGCAAGACAGCCAACCCATATACACGGCGCTTAATGGTAACATTTATGATCTCAGCTCTTCGCGGGATACTTTTTTGGGGCCCGGGCCCTACTCCCTGCTGGCAGGCTGCAATGCCAATCATGTGCTTAATATTGCTTGCGGTTCCATGGGCGTTTGTACCGACGATGTGCTTCAAAGATGGGAGCGTAGTCTGAACGCCGAGTTCCATATCGTTGGCTACTTGACTGACAGCGAAGGGTCCGAAAGTGACGACTATGAAAGTGACGTCTCAACTCTTGTGAGTAAACGCAGTCAGGAGCATCAGGATTCTAATCACGAATCCAATTATTGTTAGGGTCCGCATTTCAGTTCACTTTTCCCTCAAACAAACCGTGTCGCAATAGTGGCTAGAAAAAAATTAAATAAAATTATATAAAATATATACAATAAGTTATATTTGATTGCAAGGAACGATAATGAAGATTTTTGTAAGCGTAGCAGAAGTTAAAAGCCATCTAACTTTCCTTACTAGAATGGGCCAAATAGACTTGATATAACAAAAAATAGTAATAAAACAAGAAAGAAATGATATTTGTTAAGGTTGCCGAAATCAATGTTGATTTATGAGCAGGTTGGCCATCGATTTTTAATTTGTTTGAAGCGATTGATAGTAGGTATCCGGTACGAATTCTAGGATAGCAAACAGCTCATATGCTATTCCAAGCTTTAATTTGTTGAGAATTGCAAGCGTAACAACAACAATAATAAGAGAAAATATCTGAGTGAAACAGCTTGCGTTAGGCCTGCAAACATATATCCTATTTCAAGCTTAAACTAGTTGAGAATTGCAAGCGAGCAAAAATATGCGAGATGCTTATGTATCCTTCCATACTGTCTGCCTTGCCGTCTTGTGCTTCGATTCGTAAATATTTATCATTCTGCTAGTAAAACCTGAACTGATAGAATTAGTTTAAAAGAGGATTGCAAAGGGTCGTGCTTTTGTAAAATTCCGCTCAGCCATTGAAGCCTGAAGCGTCATTAAAGCTCTACAATTGGCTGACTGCATGGCATGTGGCTCAAATGGTTTTCCATTGAAAAGAAAATGTCGCTGGTGTCGGCGACATCAACAAATTCTGCGTTTTTTTTTGTCACCTCGGGCAAACTTTTCAGTTGTGCCAAATTCTCAATAGAGAAAAAATTGAATTGGTAAACGAACTGTAGCGGGGCAGGTGATACAAGTTGGGGCCATCAAAACCATCAGGTGCTACACAGCTAATAAAATCAAAATTACTTTTTCGTAACAACAGCTACGTGCTTAAGGAGTTGTAAAAAAGTTGTCCAAAAACTTTGAGCACACACTCAAAAATCAGCCAAATGTACAAAAACTCAACACACAAGGCACACAGCACACAACCTGGCTCTAAGTGCCGAGATATCTTTGATAAGCAGCCAAACACCAAATGTTATTCGATGTGTTAATTTCGATTAAATTTAAAGCTGTCAAAGCAAATAAAATAAAATCAACGAAAAAAATACGAGGACATACCCTGCAATCATGCACTGCTCACCCAAGGCAACAAGTTAAAACTTGTAGTCGAATGCTCAATACTCTTTTTTGAGATTGTAACGAGAGAGTCTGTGTGATTATTGGGATGGTGACTTGGTCAGGTGAGTCTTAAGCTGGCACCTTGAAAAAATAGATTTTTGCAGTGGGCCAGAATACAGTTTGTTTGTAGATATTTCAAGATTAAAAACTCAAATGTCTGAGACATAGGGACAGTGATAAAGACGTACCAACTTTTGTTCACTTTGCAAACGGGGTATTCAAACCACTAGCAAACTCTTGTGCACGTTGTAAACAGAGTATTCAAACAATTTCTGCAATTAAGCAATGTCTCATATCAAAGTAAACATTCAATCCGAGACGATAATCACACACAACAAGGACCAGGACCAGACACTTGCGGAGTGCCGGCTGCGTTGCTAACGACGCCCATTGTTGCACGTCGGGAATACAAAAACATAATTAACCGCGAAACTGGGGATTCCGACAGCCAGGCTATGCCTAAGCCTGTAGAGGCAGCCTGGAGAAAGCCCAAAGCTCGCCCAGCCTCCCCGTCAGGTTTATGTGACAGACGCAGCTGTGCTCGACTTTTGCAAATAACACGGTTTTGAATATAAAGTGCTCAAATTACATGGCCAAACACATTTGTAATTTGTAATTAGTTGCGCCATGCGAATATGCTGAGAGTTAATTCCTTGTCTGCGATGTGCCTGGCCCAACATTTTTGGTCACATGCTCGGCTGCCATCTTTAACGCAGTTAGTGCCAACTCAGGATTTTCTACAGTTGAGTAAATTTTCTACTGCTTATTTATACTTCTCTGACATAAAACCAAAATCCAAGGCTAGGATCTAAAGATGAATACAGTTTAAAAAACAAAATTAATTAAATTGAATATAGCTCGACTTCATCAAAGTGTTGGACTACCTCAACTTTCCTTTCTGGCTGGGTATTATTATGTTGGCAAACCTCGTAGCCTCATACTATCATAGATTTGATCAGGCATCCAAGTATTGAACATACCGCACATTTGCCATATGTCATCGAGGGTATTAATCTACAGTAAACAATTTCTTTTATTCAGCCACTCTAGAGGTTGTAGGTACATGTTATTGATTCGCCCTGGTCTGTTTTCCTATCATTCATCGCATTAGTTGACTCCACAGTAAGCAAAACCATCAAACAAATTAATTCATTCGGTGGAAATGTGGCCAGCTTGTCGCACTTGGCGTCAGAAATTCGCTCGGTTAAATCTTTGGGCGACACTGTACGGTTCTTGGGCGCTCGGTCTGTTCCCATTCATCTATAATTCCAGCACGAAGAAATTGCGACGCTCGACGTGGCTGATTGGATATGGCATCATTTTGCAAGTTGGGTTTGTTTGGGTTACGCACAACTATCAAGCAGAAACAGACACGACAGCCCTGATTGAGGTATTCCATCGTAATCCTTTGGCAGAGCAAATCAACTATCTACAAAACCTACTACTTTTGACAACCGTTTTTGTGATGCACTTTCGGAACTGGTGGCTATCCGAGGAGCTTGCCAGTACAATTAATACGCTGACAAATCTGTATCAACAACACCTGAATCCACATGACTTTAACGATTGTCTCAGCTTTGACAATTATATTATATATAAAGGCTTATCGATTTGGTTGGAAGTCGCTTCAATGTTCGTCATGCGATATGGACTGTCGCCTCCCATCAGCTTTAAACTCTTTTTGGGTCTAGTCGGTGTCATGGCAGTTCAGATGAGCATACTTCTGATTGGAATGCACTTTCACCTGGCCGTATTGTATATATATCGCTCTGTTTGGATCGTCAATCGGGAACTTCTTACGCTGGCAAATCAGCTGAGGATGTGGAACATAAGGAGTTCCCCTCGTGTTCAAGAACTGCATTGCCTGTATAGTCGCCTCTTGGGCCTAAGCAATCGACTCGGTGCTCTCTACGACTACCAAATGACGCTTTTCATGATATCCCTACTAAGTGTCAATATATTATCCATATTCTATATGATTGTCTACTGTATTAGCTTAAAGAAAATATTGACGTTCGCGCTGGCAATCAACTTTATTCAGGCGCTAGCCATTAATTTGATGGACTTCTGGTTGAGTATTGCTGTCTGCGACTTGGCAGAGCGACAAGGTCGAGCCACCTCAGCTATTTTAAAGCTATTCAATGACATACCTGAACTAGAGGTTGATCTAGACCGAAGTGTAAGTAGATGTGTGTGTGTGTTTTTTTTAAGTATACCTTAACTGAGACTCTCTTCTTTCAGATCAACGACTTTGCCCTATTTTGCTGTCATAGACGTCTAAGATTTAACCATTGCGGCTTGTTCTATGTCCATAACGCAATGGGATTTCGAATGATTGTTGCTTGTGTATTGTATTTAATCTACTTGGTTCAGTTCGATTATATGAATTTGTAACACCGCTAAATTGTATTGCTCTCAATCATTAGGAGGTTTAGGTTTAAGAAGTTAACTGTTTAAGGAGATAGATTTGGCTAGAAATCAGGAACTACTGCTTAAGTGTACAGGGTCGTGCAGAAGCTAGACAGCAAACAGGCAAAGGAAACATAAAAGTTTTTGCTTCAGGTAAACTGTCCAGGCTGTGAACTGTGACCCCTACCGTGCAGCAAAGCAGCGAGGAGCTCAATTTGGGCAAGATTCGCCTGGGGTTACATTTTACACCATTGGCGGTGCAAGCGAGATCAGCATCAGGTGGGTATCTCCGGCTACACCCAAGGCCATGTTTATGGGTAAGTAGCTCGAAGACTGTAATCCCAGCTGTGACTGTGACTAGGAAATATCGATTTTTATGATTTAAGAAAGCCAGAGTGGGCGTAAAATCTACAAAATTAATTCAAAAAATTGCTTATTAGCTACTCTGTGAAATTCCTAGAAATTCCTTCAGTTGAAGCGAGAAATCAATAACTAGACGGCGCTGCCTTTGCTTGGCGAATGCCACGGCAACATCAAAAGCTGTCCGTGTTGCGTGACACTGTCAACATATTGACAGACATTGTCAACATGTTGCTTACGGCAGGCAACATTTATAGCGCTCTCTTGGCGTTCAAAGTGCCACGCCGCTCTCAGATAAACTTTAGGAAAGCATTGGCAACTAACAACTGCATGCTCCACTGGCATTTTAAAAACTCGGGTTGCCAAAATGTTCTATTGCGACTTTGTGGAGCCAGACAGTCGCAATAGCGGCATGTGTGGGGAAGGTCAGAAGTGCTGCCAATTTTACATTATATTAGAGGGTATACCCCGGCCTTGCCTGTGGTACGTATAAAATAAACAAGCAAAAAGCCAAACCTCGTGGAAATCGGATGATTTTTGACCGAGTTATGGGGAAATTTTGACCCTTTAAGATTTTTGAAATAATGCCCAATTTGAAGGTACAATTTTAACCAGTTTTGGATGAATTGATCTCGTGGCCAAACCGTGGAGAAAGATCCAAACCTCGGTTAAATCGTATGAGATTTTACCGAAATATTGTATGGGAAATTTTGACCAATGTCTATATAGGATACAAGAATAATGTTTCCAGCTTAGATAACACACTGATTTTGTATATATATATGTATGCTAATATGTATGTGTATGTGTATGTGTGTATGCATGTATGTATATATGTATTTATGTATGTGTATATATATGCATGCATGCATTAATGAATAAATGAATATATGAATGTGTTTATTTATGTATGTATTTATGTATGGATGTGTATATGTGTGTGTACATGTGTGTATGTATGTGCGTATGGGTATGCACATATGTATGTACGCATATATGTATGTATGCAAGTAAATTGTCTTATAAATGCGCGGTAAATTTAAATAAGACAACATATTTATTAAAACTGCCCTCCTCCTCGATTCTCAAAAATTTAAGTAAGGCTTGCAGGCTTCACCTAAGAATTAGGCGCAGGTGGCTTCAACGCTGGAAGCTAAGGAGCCGGAGGAGCGTACCGGAGGAGCACCAAGGGGGCGGAGCAGGAGGCGTAGGTATGTAGGTATGTAGGTATGTAGGTATGTAGGTATGTAGGTATGTAGGTATGTAGGTATGTAGGTAGGTATGTAGGTATGTAGGTATGTGGGTATGTAGGTATGTAGGTATGTAGGTATGTATGTATGTATGTATGTATGTATGTATGTATGTATGTATGTATGTATGTATGTATGTATGTATGTATGTATGTATGTATGTATGTGTGTATGTATGTATGTATGTGTGTGTGTGTGTGTGTGTGTGTATGTGTATGTGTATGTGTGTGTGTGTATGTGTATGTGTATGTGTGTATGTATGTATGTATGTATGTATGTTTGTATGTTTGTATGTTTGTATGTTTGTATGTATGTATGTGTGTGTGTGTATATGTATGTATGTATATATGTATGTACGAATGTATGGCTTGTGAGACGCACTGCTGCTCTATTTTGTGCCAAAGACACCCACCTTGAACTCTGAAAGTCTTTATGCAGTCATTTATTTCTGCTCTCATTTCGCGAAGACAAGCTATACAGAAACAAAGCTATTATTTTCTTGTAATATATGTGCAAAAGGTATACCCTGTATACTATTCCCGAATCGAGTTTTCGGCATATATACCTTTGAATGATAGCCAATTACTGAATTAGGCAAATATTTAATTGCTTCCGGAATATAATGTTTTATGCAAATGGACTTAGGGCAATAGATTTTTAAGCGGCTTTACATTTAAATTGCAGACTTATGCGTCAGCATCGGCTGAACTATAAAGATTAGCAAACTGCAGACTTCGGCGAAACGCGACAAAGAGACCACAAAAAACCAGCATCATTTTACTTAAGCCTGGAAAGAGCATAAAACACGCTACGCCAGCGGAAAAAATTGTCAGATATTCAAACTTAGCCTGCTTCATTTTTCCATAACTCTTACTTTCTCAGCCCACACTTCCCACAGTTGGGCAAAATATGGGGTTGGTGAGCCTAGAGTCAAGCGACCTTCAAGACGGCGACCTTCAACCAAGATTAGGCCGATAAAAGGGGTGAGCTTTGTAGCGGAAAAATACTCTAGCCTTGGCCCTACCAACTTGGACGATGACCTATAAAATAAATTTATTAATTCGGCTCCAACTTACTCATTTTAGGTTCGACTTACTCATTCATGCAAGCGAGTATTCATTGTATTCCAAGTGTTATCAATGAGGGAATTCTAATAATTCACCTTTTACAATAATCTTTTAGGGTATTACCAGACATGGTCGGGCTGTAGGCATTCATTAAACATCTGAAACTTATTGCTTCCATTAGTCATTTTTATGACTTGAAAAGCACCTGAATCATTTAATTAATCACATTTAAGCAGACTTAATTCCTAATGCACACACATACCGGCCCAGCGGGAGTTGGACTTAGACGTAAAAGCAAATCACATTAAATGAGATGTTGCCACCGTTTTACGTGACCTAATCCTGATGCATTCGTCTACTCGGATCCGGATCAGGCTCGTGAAGGAATCAGACCGCACATAGATCTGCCCCACAAGAACAAACTACAACGACGACATTAAACACCACATATAGTTCATCAAAACAGACAAACCTCATCCCAATGAAGGAGACCAACACCAGTCTCCGTTGACGGGCCAGGAATCCACAGCAGGACAACAACTGCACCGTCAGCTACGGGAGCCCTCGCGGCCGGGAAGCATTCATCAGTATTTGCGTCACGCAGCGCCCAAAGAGCTGAGGCTTACGCTGAAGCTAAACCTGCCGGCTGGGGATTGCGAACAGCCTGTTGTGGATGTATGTTGACATTTCAATGACAGTTGCGAAAATTGTGAAAATGAGTTCGGCTGCCATTTTCCGCTGCGGTTTCCACTTTCCACTTTTTCCGCACAGCTTTTGTAAATTTATGCAATTTGATTATCGCGGACAGATTGTCGTGGCTGACTTAAATGCTTGGTCTGCTTTTGGCTTTAATGCAGTCGGCACGTTGTTACCCGTGGGCCTACCCGACTGTGCAATACTCTGCTCGCGGTGTAATTACCAATAGAAACCGTTCTGTAAGCTTGTACTCTAGGATATTCCACACACTAGCGTCCAACTTAAAAGGACATCAATCATAACTTATCTTTTTGAAGCTATTACAGGTTTCAACCGTGACAAACCAAGTTCCTTTTGGACGAACGGATAGCAACTACATTGCAAGTCACTAATATGCTCACTTTCACACTGTGAGCAGAGTATACAAAGAGTATATTGGCCGTGTATGTGAACCATATTGATACAGACTTGACATAACAATCATAGGCAACATTGTGTCAACATTGAACTGGACGGAGCCGCAAATCTTACATCTTCTCTGATCACAGGATCGTAACATTGTGTCGACACATTAAGGAAAATAAATTTATTTACAAGCGAAATATGTTGTTTGAGCGTTAAAGCTGAATGGCTGGCTCGATATGAGGTAACTTCACGTTGTCGCTGCAGGGCTGCCCCAAAATATCCTCCAGCATGCGATTCAATGACTCCGAGCCCAGCGCATAGCCTGCCTTGTTTACGGCGCCAATCAATAGCGTTTGGTTTTCCAAGCTTTTATCGTCGCTACTAAGAATATTTTGCAATGCCGCGTTTATCTGCTCAGATCCCATTATGTATGGCTTTTCCAGTTCAGTCTGAACTGCCGATGTTTCCATACCACCTGCCACGGGAGACCTGTGCTCTTCATTGGCTATTCTCCAAAAGCGCATCGATTGTGTGCCTAGCAGCAGGCCAGCACAAACGCTTATCAGCCACTCGATAACCGGCTTCATATTTCCAAAATTTTAAATGTAAAGCATAAAGTTTTTGTATATTGGATTATTTTCTTGTATGTGTATGTAGCCTACTTATAAAGAGCAATTTATTTATTTGTTTACCTTGTACCTCGGACTCTATCCTCCTTTTTGCCGTTTTAAAGTTCTTAAGCGATGGATCGGGTTGGTCTGCAAACCCAAAATCAAACAAACAAAAAATAAAACTCAGAATAGCAAAAAATCAGATGCAAAACAAGAACGTAGCGCGTGAAATTCCATTTTTTTGCGTCGTCCGTCTTGATCGCCAAGATGCTTGTGAGCGATAACGAGGACATAGGAAACTCAGTGCAAAGAAAAGGGACAAATAATGTCACTGTGTTTGTTGTGGGTTTCTCTGTCTTTTCTGGAAAGCAGCGCTTGGAAACAACAACAACACCAGTTTGGTTCAAATGTTGTTGTTGCAGAACTGAGTCCCGGCGCGAGTAGGTAGAAAGTTCCAGCAGGCCGTGGCATTTAAATCAAAAATTATTACGTCACATTTCTTAGAGTTTTATTTCTTTTGTTGTTAAGCATATATTTATATCCTTATAACGTGAATTTAAATAATTTACTAACAGGGTCTCTAACAATAATTAATTTATTTAAAAATTTACTAATTTACTGTTTACAATGATCGCACACAGGCTGTGACGTCACAAGCACAACAGAATGTTGCAATGTTCTTAAATTCATAAACTTCCCTTGGCTTGGCAGACGCATACATGCATGCATATATTTACAGCTAAATGTGTGATTTGAGACACACATACCAACAACTATTTGGCGCGTCGGGGCTCCGATACCCTGTTTTTATAGAAATGGTATATGATGTTTAATGAAAACAATTATTAGTGTTTCTTCTGATAGCTGCACAAATACGAAATTATATTATATTATTATTACGAAATCATATATTTAGAAAACACAACTTTCTTTGGAGACATTTCCTGAGATGTCGCACATATGTATTGGGTGAGGTAGAATTTACCATTATATGAATTTCGTCCAAGAACAGAATCTTTAGTGGCTATAGTTAACTATTGTTATTGTAAGTATATCAGACATGCCTTCATATTCAATTTTCACTTTAAAACAGGAAAACTGTCAAGGAGTGCATACTTTTTGGATGAATATAAAAAATACGCCAGTAAGATCAAGGTAGGTAATCAATTTTTTTATTTAACCCATTAATTTATCTATACACCGACAAGATCGTCTTCACAGTACATATCGTCCAGAATCTGTATTTTTGTGTGAATATTATTTGTCGTTCTAATTATTATTATTTTCGAGTTTACTATTGCCAGGTTGACGACATTTCCATATTTCGCAGACCAATATTTTGCCACTATGAGAGTTAATATTTTATAAGTTTTTCACGAAATGTATTGTATTAAGGCAATACATTCTTAACTTTCCATATTCCTTTAGAAGGTATTATCATTTTGACTAATCCGGGTATTCATATTTCATATATGAGCCAAATCCTTTAAGAATCAGATTATAAGTACCATACATAAATGTTTATTTTATATTGTAAGTTTTATTTATCAAATAATTATTCTCTCATTATTGGTAAATTAATTCTTATTATTCTATACTAACTCATTTAAAAGCAACAGAAAGCATAAAACAATCGATTGTTTTAAAATGCTTGTGCATATCTTAAGACAAGTTGGCAGGGTTATGTGGAATATGCTGGATTGCTAGATGAAATTATAGGGTGCAATTTATTCTTTGTTATTTAAGAGCCCGGGAATAAGGAAAATAGAAAACCAGGTAAATGAGGTTTACACAAAAATATCAGATTTGCAAAAAACCAGTTTTCGTTACCCTTCTTTTACTAATTTGAAAGAAAATGGTGTCAAACGCAGGTACTACATTTGGTAGCGTCGCGTAGCAATACGTTTCGTCGCTGCGAGCGCAGCTATAAAAGCATCGTCATTCTGGTGGTTTCTAGCATTTCCCTTTGAGTAGTCGTGCTGAGTGGACGTGTGTTTTTAAACGTTCTGTGTCTGGAAAGTTGTATAACCAGATAGTGATATAGCGCGCTGGCTAACTATTCGGCAGCAAAAGAGGTGTGTTTGTGTGTGTGTGTGTATAAAAGAAAATTTTTGTAAAGCGTCGTACAAAATGGTTGCATATTATGATGATTCAGATGGTGTTGAGCAGCCCAAAACGTTAACATATTGGGTGCGAAATTTTCGCATGAAGCGCATGCAAATGCGTCGCAAATTGCGGGGCTCTGGAAGCCTGCGCGTTAACGCCATTTTGTCAACGGCGCTTTTCCAAGCTGAGCATGAACTGCGCAGGAAACAGCAAGAACGATTCAGTCGTTGGCTCGACGTCCAAACGAAATTAATTCCACATGGCAATACGCACGAAAGCAACTTCGACGAAAAATTTCATCATGCCTGTGACGTCAATGTGGAGAAAGAGACGGCCGAATGCGAACGACGCAATATTGAAAATAGCTTGTGGAGAAGCGAGCTAAGTGGCCTCGACAGATTTTTGAGCAGTTTAAGCAGCAGCAGCAATAAAAACAACAATAACATAAGCCAGTGCGCCATTGCTGTGAACAGTTAGTTAAAAAGAGACAACCCTATAGCACTTGGGTATTGGAGAAGTGTGTTTAAGCTTAAAATGTCATGAACAACTTGTTTTTCATTTCTTTGATTTGATAATTTGTTAAATTAGTTTTATTACGAAAGAAATTTCTCATTTGCAGTCGCAAAACGTGTGCAAACCTGTTATACATACATAGATTGTAATGAAAAATGTGAAGGCTGTGAAGAGTGTGATATGAAGAGGACGAGCAAATGGCCTTCGTAAGCGAGTAGTGTGAGTCATGGGAGACTGCCGTATGTCAACGCTCACCAAAAAGAAGCCTTTGGTCCGGAATTCACACTCGGTTTGTAAATTTATCCTATCAATTAGTTGTAACTTAGTTAATATTTTCTTTCTGGAAGTAGTGAAAATTTCCTAGTAAGCACAAAATAATTTTATATAGCTGATAGCTGAGGGTTGCATCGCACAAAGGCACGTATACCTGCATATGTATGTATATTAACGACGCCATTTTGGTTTGTGTGTATACATAAATGCTTGTGTGCATGCATGTGCGTAGGTATACTAACAAGGCTATTGCTTTACGGAAAAGACGCACTTGCGTACATACGTACATATACATATATTCATATTATATATGTGTATGTGTATGTACATGCCTTTGTTCTCTTTTCTGTGCATCAGTAAATCTTGTATGAATCTGTCTGCTATTTTTACGTATTAACAACAGTGCGTCCGCTTGTATGATTCATATTGAATCGAAAAATAGTTAAAGGAATTTTGAGGTTAAACTTTCACACATACTGCCAAGATTAGCATGCTGCGAAAAACTGTATATAGAAAAACTACTTGGAACTGATTAATATATATGTATGTTAACATAAATAAAACTATATTTGATGTAATTTTGAAATCAGTGTTGCCTTTATTATTTGCACTTATAAATCACATTGTCGTAAACATATTCGTCTATAATAGATTTTGTTTTACAGTTTTCCTGCTCCTCGAAACGTTAATGGCAACGATGAGGAGGAACGGAACACTTGACAAACATCCGCATCAAGAACGAAATCGAACTGACACACAAACCAACCAATCGATGGGCAAATTGTCGGTACCTACCATCGCGCGTCAGTCAATAATCGTTTCCAAGAATTTCGTTTCTATAACTGAGTGAGTCTTCACGTCTGTCCGTCTTCCGTCAACCACAATGGCAGCGACTTGCAAGCCAGCCGATCCTACACAGTTCGCAGCGGCAGCAGCAGCAGCAGCAGCGGCAGCAGCAAACACCACCGAGTCTCCCTTGCCCAAAATGCCAGATGCAGCTGACAAGTAAAATGGGGACAAGGCGGAATTGCGCGCGGCAGCAGCAGCAGCAGCAGCTTTAGCTCAACAGCAAGCAAACACGTGTGTGCCTTATGCCTCCTGGTCGGTTACCATCACAACTATCACTACCTACTCTACATAAAGCGGTCAGCAGTTGCTGACGGCGCATCCACCACCAACCCACACAGATATCTCTGCATACACGCGGTATTCGTATATCAGCTGCGAACGCAAAAACAATTACTTTTTGAAACAGATTTACAGCACAAGGAGCACGAAAGAAAGCATCCATCAACGTCGTCATCATTGGAATTTCTCTTAAATTACACAGTTATCTTGAAGGTCTGTCATCATCGTCAACGTCTACGTCTTCACTTTGGGTTCGTCGTATTTTCATCTGTGTCCTTCGTTTTATTCTGCTGGCACGTAAGCCGTATCGAATTTTTCTCCTTGAATAACTCTTGAATTACAGTCATAATTGCAAAGCAGTCGGTTCTTGCACAAGTCTACAAATTGATAGAGGAGTAATAATCGAGCACACTTGCGTTTTATGAGTCTATGCGTCGCTCATTATAGGAAGAAGTTTGAAATTTTACCCCAAAATTGTTACGCATAAATACGTGGGCTTCAATTTTTTTGTAGCGATGCGTCACAGTTGAACAGTGCCTGTGAGCGTCGGATTTCATCAGCGGGACCTCGCATCCTTTCTAGGCTTTGCACTCATGGGGTGTCGAGAGTGGAAGATCAACCACAGAGTGTCGTCGTCTGCCGTTTAACGCAAGCAATATGGATGCACCCGAACTTTATCCTCTTGTCTAGGAAAAAGACTATTTTTCGTTTACTATATTTTTAGAGAAACGTCGCAGTTGAACGGTGCCTGCGTGCGTCTGTAAGGAAGTTATCAAGAAAATATGTCGATGAGATATCGCAACCATCAATTTTCCTATCAAATCATTGCAATTTTAGTGGGCTGCTCAATGTCAGTACGCCAGGAGCACAAGTCGACATAATCAAATGGCAAAGCGTAACTCGTTTGTTATTCTTAACATGCACAAAATGTTGCGTTTGTTTCTCTTTTAGAATATTGAGCCCATGATATAGATGCGCACAATCACAAACGATACACATGTCTGTTGAAAAAGAGCTGAAACCTTGAAACTGTTTACAGTCTTGCCGGATCGGATAGCGTAACTTTTATAATTAGTACTCTTAAAATTTGGCTTCCGTAGCCAACTACAAACTTTGATCGTACACTTGTTTATGATTTCCAGCCATGGACTGGCTGCCAAAGCCTATATCTAACGAGAGCGAGGTGGATATGTTATCCTGCACGTAATGTTCGGAGGATCCTGTTCAGAACTATATAGCAGAGAGAATCAAACGAGAAAAGCGTAAATTTTGAGCTTATCCACACAAAAACATATCTTTTTGTATTTTATAGCAATATGACGCAGTTGAACTGTGCCTGCGCATATTGGAATTAGTTAGACCCATAAATTGGGCAATACTTGTAAGAGTTCAGCGAGGAAGCGTCATCTTAAAGGATTTTCACGTAAACTATTTGAATATCCCTGTGCACAAATCTTCCTTTTTCGTATCTTGTAGCTATATATAACCGCAGTTGAATGTGCCTGCGCATATCTGTCGGTAGCTGCTTCACAATGATAAAAGGGAAAAAGGGACCGTTTCGGCGAAGAAATCAAGATTTGGTTCTTTACCGGTGGAAACCAACCCCCTCTATAATCGTCAACTGCAAAAATGGATTTGTTACCTTTACTTTTTCTTCCCCTAGCTTGATTTTCTAAGCATATTATGTATTAATTGCAGTGGTTGCGTTTTTGGTTGATGTTCGGATGTTCACAAAACACACATTAACTCCAATGAATACCTGTAGCAAAATTTGTTGAGGCAATGGGAATCAAATGCCAACTTGAAAGCAATAAACACATCGATACGAACCGAATTCCAACATCAATGTCGATAAACCGAAACCGAACTGTTGTCAAGGTCAGCCCGACACTGAATACATCTTGAATTGCTTAAACCTGTTTTACAGCCAAGCGAAAAGACGATACTGAGTACACGAATAATACCTTCATAAAGGCAGCAACACTTGTCATCGTTTTTAGAGCGAGGATAATAGGCATGCCCCCCACTTCTGTCACTTCGGATTCAAGTCAAAGCGTGAGACATTTGCGTTCGCTTATCATTTGCTTTGCACTTTCACTTTTGCAGCGAATGCATTGCTTGTGCGCATATACCTTTTACTGCCAATTGCGTTTTTTGGACCGGTCTGGAAGCGGCCGATGTACACAAACAAACCACCTTTTCTCCATCTCCAAACTACTACTAGCTCTCACACTGCAAAATCGTTAAAGGGAATCAAGAACGATACATCAAGTTCATCCAGCTAGGCAAATCGTCAAGCAATGCCAGCACCAACACCACCACCACAACAACAAAATATGTTACAGCTGCCTTGATGGCCAGAGAGTTGCAGATCTCTAAATAGATCGATCACTCGCTCACAACGTACAATGTACAATTAACGTTTTTACATTACAGAAAACGTAAGCTGCAAAATAATGGCTGTGTTGGGTGGTTGGCGCTCTGGCGCCACACAGACAGCTCCTGCGCTCACAATCCAACCACTTGAGCGGAGCCAGACTCTGTTCTCACTCCGCCGAGGAGGCATCCCAACCTAGCTCGGCAGGCCAGCCTGGGTCAGCTCAGCCAGCAGCACGTAATGCATTGCACCGCATAGAAATATGCGCTCGGTCCGCGCTAAAGGGAAACAAATGCGTTTGGACCGAGACCCGCCACACCACAAAATACCAGCAGTCGCTAATGAGGCGAGCTGATGTGTTGTCGTTGTTATCGGGCAGCTGCCTGCAAGTACGCTACGTCATCGTCGCAACAGCGTCGCCGCCGCCTCCGCCACCGCAAGTTTCTTCGCATCCAGCATTTTGTGTATGTACACATCATGTATGTATTTGTAGTATGTAGTAGAAGCAGCTGAGCCAGCTATAACGACCCGATCTATGGAGCTCGTGGCTTATCGCAAAAGGGAACCAAATGCGACTAGTATTCAAGCAGCAGAACGAAGAGCTGTGCAGAAACAGCAACAACAGCAGTCGAGGCAGACAGACGGCGGCTTTCAATGGGCAGAGTTGACGGCGGTGGTATTCGAGATCAACTGGTTTTATAATCTGTTGCAAATTATCCGCTCATTCTCACTCCACTTCATAGGTAGCACACATGTTTTAACAGAAAACTCCGGTTATCAAAATCCATCGCAAAGGGAATCAAATGCGATTAGTGTTCGATGACGAAGAAGCTAGCTAGTCAGACCAGCTCTACGCTACGCTACGCTTCGATTTGCCAGTTGAGCGCTTAACTCCTGGTGCACCGTTCAACATTCCGCAAAAGGGAATCAATTGCGAGGTGGTACTGCAGCAACGCACGCACACACACACGCACACAGACACCCACCCACCCACACACATTCACGCATACATGCGGAATTTCCTGTTATGTGGGGCAGTCCAACACGTCCCACTTGGCCCAAAGAGCATCCAAATGCGATTAAGAGCAGCAGAAAGCAGGCAGGCGGCAGGCAGGGAAACGATGCCCGCAGCGAAAGACATCTACTTGTCGTCGTCGTCGTCATCATCATTGTTCATGTTGTTGTTGTTAGTGGTGTGTATACATTTTTCAGGTAAATTCCAACCCAGCCGACTAGGACAGTTGTCTGTCGGTCTGCCCAGCACACGTACTACACGTCAAGTTGTTCTCGAAGGGAATCCATGAGACACGCGCTACATCTGCATACGACATATTATTTTTCAATGTATTTTTTGTTTTTTTTTCTTCTAAGTTTATTATGTACTTACATGATCATACAATTAAGTATGTATCTTCCTATAGAGGCAATCCTCGTAACTCCAGGCTGTTTGAACGAAACTCTTCTGGCCATGGGCCGTAGTCTACCAAGAATGAATGTTTATTGTACAGCCCATGTAAATGAGCTATAACATGTTACTTTGTAAAAACAATTGTATAAGCCCGATCTTGGTATTGTAAGACGATTGTATAGTTATAATTGTAAAACTTTGACATGTACATATTTGTGTATGGCTTAAGAAACGTAGCAGGGACTCGTTCATTGAAGAATTCGACTGACGAGGACACCCTGATGTTCAACCCACCCACCCCTTAATATGAGAGTGAAGGAGCGACTTGAAAGAGGCTACTCCATTGCGCTCTTAAGGCGGGCCTGGCCATGACACTTATGTATCCATCTCCAGGGGCTTGCGGTGGTGCTGTACGCGAGCGGCAGAGGGGACAATCAACCGTTCAAATTGGCTGGCAGAACTAGCTTCAACTGTGCGAACTCTTGATTACCTGGTCGTCGATTCGCCAACCACCATTCCATGGGCTGAGATTGAATCTTTCGGGCTTGCTTATTTTTCGACTCTGATGTCGCATCATCGCTTCAAATTCCCAAAACTCTAAAATCAGCCATTTCCTGTCGTAAAAGGTGGAGCTGCAGCTGACCAAAATCCATCCGTTACGGCATCGACGCTTCATGGCAAGGGAGATCTGCACTTGAGCTGGAGGTCTTCTTCGTGTTTGTAACGCCACATATTAGCACGTCCTGTCGATCTAACACCTATGACTTGTTGGGAACATTTCATCTACTATGTCACTGCATCCAGTCCGAGGCTAATAGACAGATCCACAGATTTGCTGCCAGCTACAACTCTACTACTACTAATATTCAAAAAGCAACCAACACATCATTCTCATCGACACGTACGCGCGCACAAATCATTTTTGGCTTCGTCCGCTGACTAGGACACACCACACATGGGATAGTTTTTCAGCCGCCCCAAGATAAAACTTGAAAATCGACCTTCTTCGCATCGACAACACACACATATTCCCCTATATTAGGGCCAGCTGGCAGCTATAGGATCATCCTACTCAGATCGTTTTCTTCTTGTCTTCTGCTACTCGACCCACTCTAAGGCCAACGATGAGGCCGTTCGTTTCTGACGTTTTCTGAAAGGACTTCGTTTCTGGCGATTAGGATTTTTTGAAGGATTGCAAATATTTTCTAAAATTTCGGACAATTGGGCACAATTTGAATACATTTACAAACCGACGGCGGCGAGGGATTATAGTAAATATTTTGACAGCAGCGTGGGATTATACCAAAATGGACGGCAGCGGGGGATACCAAATTGAATAAACAACGTGGGATTCTCTTTCGTTTTCTTCGTGGGACTTATAGGGCTTCGGTTAGGAGATGTCGCTAGGTACAAGGCTTCTATTATTAGGACAACTGTGAAGGAGAGCCCAGTTGATGTCGAGAGGAGAATCGCAATGACTGCGGCGTGGGAACATTGTCGTTTGACTGCGGCGTGGGACATTATTGGTGACTGCGGCGTGGGAGTTCCGGACGGCTGCGTGGGAGTGAACTGGACGGCGGCGCGGGAGCTCGAGACGGCGGCGTGGGAGTTCGGGACGGCGGCGCGGGATCACTTGACGGCGGCGAGGGATCACTTGACGGCGGCGAGGGATTATTCTTAGTTTCGTCTGCTTTGTTTTCTCTATGATCATCGTCGGTATTCCCATGAGGCACAAATTAAGCAAAATTCATACGTTCAAAGCTGATATACAACATACATTTTGAAAGCTTTGTGCAAGCTAAACAAGCTTCATCCATATAGAACCGTAGAACCGCCTTAGTTGTTAATTAAGCATCAATAACCCGCACCCTTGACCTAATAACCTCATGACTGGAGCCTATCATCATTCCAATCAATATTTATTGTGTATAAACACGTTCCTGGAATACCGGAAAGCAATTTAACACGATGGTCCAGATAATCCCAAAGCCAGATGCCTATAAATGGATTATCTGCAGAATAAAGATGATTTTTTGAAAAAAGAAATCGGACTCGTCTTATTTTTGAAGTGTTGTTTTATTTTAAGTTGGTGTTGTGTTTGATTCTACCACAGCTTGAATAGTTTCCCGTAGGGATAGGTGCCATTGGACGGTCCACCTTTGTGATAGGTGAAATTGCCATGTGTTGTGCCATTTGAAAACGTTCCGAATCCATATGTGCCACTGGGTTGGAATTGCCCAGAACCGACGAAGTTGTCATGGAAGCCTATGTTTGGCTGTTGAGCTGTTCCCTGGTAAGGCGCTCCATACTGGGGACTACTCTGCAAGGGCTGGACAACTCGCGTCTCATTGAATCTTGGTCGGGTACTATTAAATCCCGGACCAACCCAGGGCTGATAGTTGGTCGCCGGCTTCACATATGTCGAGTTTGAGCGTCGAAGATTCGTATGGAAGTTTCGTGCAAATGATCTAGTCTCAAGGTTAAGACATCCAAACAGCAGAGCTGCAGTAAAAGAGATTCGAGAGGTTTAAGGCAAACCTACCAGATGCGTGCAAATATTGAGAAAAATAAGCTAACCCATGCTTAGCACCAGCTGATAAGATTTGAACATATTGATAACAAATTTCGCGACTCCCGTTAGCTCGTGTGGTATACGCCTCGGAATTCTAAATGAAACTGAAGACGGTTGCGAACAGCAGCCGCATCTTATCAGCCTTGGGCATTAATCATTTGTATTCCCTGTACGCAAGAAACGGGTAGGAATGAATTAATTGAAAACGATAGCAATTTCGTAAAAAATCGAATGTGTAGGACAGATAGAGTAAGCTATTTAGGCAGGCTTACAGGTTTACTTTTAGACTACCTTCTAACTTTTTTATTGATAGGATCATCAATAAAAAATCTTTTCCATCTCTCCCGAGGAAATAAATGATTAATTGCTAATCGCTTTGAAATTCATTTTCAAAGATGTTTGAACATTTTTTTCAAAGTACTTCGTTACGTATTATTCAAAACTGATTTGATCCATTTTCTTTTTGAAAATCCAGGTGCGTAAGGATACTTTAGTTGCGGACACAGGGTACCGCATAGGTGACTACTTTATTAAAACAATTCGGCCAGCTGTTTGTAAATTTGTACAATGTTTAAACAAAATATTTGCGCTTATCAATATCACAAGTGTTGTTCCCAAACATGCTTATTTATTCCTAGGAAAGCTATATAATTAAAGTCTTAAAACAGATTTTTATAGTCTGCTCACAAAGTGAAGCAGAGTATTTTGCTGTACGGCTCTTTCGTCTTGAAGGCATGACTAAACCAATCTCCGTCGAAGTCACAGCTTGAAGGTTCCTGCCTGTCAGGTGTCCCATTGGGAGCAGGGTATTGCACAGTCGGTTGCATCCGGAGCTCATATCTTATAGTATCATTAAATTACTAGCTATATGTACACTATGAGTAAGCCACATTTCAGCCGCGCTGCATGGGAAACAGACCTTGACAACTGCCTCGTCGCACAATTCGTATATCTGGAATAATATTTGAGTCAGAAGCTATTGTGGCTATTTGTGCAGCACAACTCACCGGCACCGCAGAACAGAGCGCAGTTAAACTTCTGTTCGTTGAGATACATTTGCCTGTTGCTCGCACAGATCGGATTATACTCTGGCGTTGTGGGGCAACGACCAAAGCAGTCCAGGAATTGTTGCGTCGCAGCCGGTGCTGCAGAGACAAACGGTGTCATAGTTCCCACCACTGGCTCATTGTTGACTAGCACAAAGTCGCCAGCCGGCCGAGCTGTTGGCCTTGTGCTCATTGGAGGCGAACCTGTGGTGGCTGCGAATATTAGGAAATCTTGGGTGGCCACTAGATCGCTGGTGATAAGGGCACAAACCGTTAAGAGCCATGGCTGCAGATAGTAATTAGTCATTTCTGAAATGTATCTGCGAGGCTCTGCTGTTGCACCTGAACTAAACCAAGCCACTTGGCTTACACTTATAAGACTGAATTAACACGAACATAAATAGACAAGTGACTTCATGAAACTGGTTTTCCACGATCAGTTTCTGGTAAATCCAGTTCGATCAGCTTTAAATTGTATCAGATTGCCCTTAATCGATCGCGATAACACAAAGCGGGACGTTCCCAAAAGCTAAACAGTGTTCGATATTTAAGTTTATCTATTAGTTAATACAAAGGCATTTCAAGTAGGTTGTAGAAATCCCCAGTAGAGAAAACAACAACATTTGTTAGCCTATAAAAATGACGTTGTATGGTGCGGAAGTTATACGAGGTCCCGGCATAGAGCTCGTGGGCGATAAATACCGCATAGATTGTTCCAGTTTCTGGTAGGGTGCAGTCTTGAAGCCAATGAGAGCTGAAACAATGAGTCATTTAGATGGTTGGCACAAACACTTGCAACAGCTAAGACTTACAGTTTGAGGTTTGGGGCATATTAGTTGGATGTTTGGATTCTGCTTCTTCGGCCTGCATATTTTGGTCACTTGAAGTCGTATTAAGGGCTCGTTGTAGACACTTGCCCATATGCATGCCACGCCTAGGTCGCCCACAGCGGCACTTTTCCAAAAGATTCTTTTGCATTTCAGGCGAAATGAAACGCGATTTGCACTGACTCTCGGACTCTTCTAAAATACAAAGTATCATGGGGTTTATATTTGATCTAAAATCTCTTGCTTTACGTACCTAGTATCTTAAGTTTTTCCTCCAGCTGTTTTTCCAGCTCGTCTGGATGATAGAATTTGTTGGTCTCACTCGCAGCAATTCCATTCCAAATGTGCGGATAATTTCTGCGCGATTTGTGCTCAATACGGACCAGTTCCTTGCTATATGTGTGATAAGTTTAATTTATGTTATTGCCCATAAGATGCATCTCATGTACGTACACTCTTCCAACTAGTTTAGTGGGATCCATTTTAATAATCGTCTTCCTGTTGGTTAAAATATGTGTACTTTGAGTTTATTTAAATATGCCTCTGTCATTCGAGCATTTCCCATGGCAACGAAATCAACAATTGGGGTGATATTTTTCCTTGTTAATTATACAGGCATCACGCTTATCGACTGCAGTTCAAATTTACTGATGATTCCCGCTAAGAATGAGCCAGGAATTTTATATTAATCAGGTGCTAGAAACTCCTATTCTCTTATTCAAAAATCCATATTACGTACTCACAGCTTGAAAGCCATTATTTCAAACTCAAGAAGACTTATCTTCTATTACACTTCCATTCCCTTCCAAAATTGTCAAAGTTTGAGATATACTTTCTTAGGATGACCGTATTAATGCACGTAGCAGACATCTCCGCCTCCATGGAAATACAAATAGTCCAGATGATTCAATCTGTGGAAACTAGTCTCAATTTTAAAGATAAGCATCAATCCAATCATATTGAACAATGGTTTCTGAAAGAACTGAATAACATGAACTATCAAAAATAACCTCGAGTTCTGATTGTATTTTTGGTAATGATCGGATATTTTTGTAAGTTTTTGTATTTTTTGGTACTCTTATTAAGGTAGCTATAAATATCAAATACATTATTTATGAGTGTCACACAATTGTAATATAATTTCAAATGTTCAGATTATATAAAGGCGAAAGCAGATAGTTTAAATGTTATTGTACTGATATACTTTTTATATTTGCGGGACACTTGATCAATAATATTGTTAATTTTAGTTAACGTGTGAGTAAGCACAATTGGAACGTATTAGGTTAGTTAAGCTTATGATTGAAACACGATAAATTTGAAAAGTTTCAATATTAATAATTCATATTGACGGACAGTGAATTTATCAAATTCATATATTGTAAAAAGCTAATGGAATTATTAAATAATAGCTTTCACAAGTATTAATTTCTTAAAAATATGCGTGGCGCTTAAGTAAATTTTACAGCTGCAAATGTAAGCTCTTAAATATATACAACGCACTGATTATTTTGATAGCTAATTACAATGCAAGACCGACAGAAGACAGGAAAACAGATACAGTCACACACATTTACACTTTTACTTAAAAGCTAGACAACATTAACTTTAGCCTAATGTAATATATAATATAATATAATAATAGAATAACAGTGCCAATACGCATAATCAACGGTTCTGGCTTCAAAAACAGTTGCCCACTTAGTACAATCTTAATTCTCTTGCATTCTTACGATTGCTCATTTTTTTCGTTAGCGCTACATATTAAATACACGTATATTTATATATATTCGTATATAAATATACATGCATTAAAATGTGTATTTAAATATATAAACTATTTTTTAAACAGTCCATAGTTTTGGTTTATCATATTGGCATTTTAGCACGCGAGATAATTCATCATTCCTGTTAGATATTCAAAAAGGAAAAACCGTCTCACAATATACCATTCGTATAATATTGATAGCCATCGTACAGTTTTGTTGAGAGGCTTTTTAGTGAGTCCTGCACAAGCTGTTCAACCTTGCGTTCCATTTCCTGCTCAGTTAAATTCATATGAAAACGTTTTCGGAGATTCTGTACTGTGCCGGAACAGCCATTCCTAAAGCATGGCAAATGCGCATCTACAGAAAAAAAAAAGGAACACCGTCAAAAATGGTTTTTGATGCGTTTAATTTTACCTACTGCTTCGCATGATTTCAACAAAATTGATGATGCGGTCCATGTGCTTGCGCACAGACATCATGCCGACGAGAAGCAGGCGATTGAACTCCCGCCAATGTACGGAGCCTGTGCCTCCCATAACATCGACAAATTCGTGCGTGAGCTTAAAAGGTGACTGCTCGAAACCTGTGAGAGGCCGAATACAATGAGTATCTATGACCAAACGGTTGTAATTCAAATATTTACCCAAATTTTTAGGAGATATGCTAAGAATGAAGCCGAAGTCTATATGTATTATATGACCATCCGAATGAAAGAGTATGTTACCATTATGCCTAGGGGTTGTAAAGGGTAAATCGGGCTGTAAGAACAGATTTAACGCGCGTATCTCAGACTTACCTGTCCTTAACCTGCAGAAGATAGGATATCAGACAATAAGCCGCACAGCTTGCAACGAAATTCTTTTGGGCTTGACTGAAGCATTCGCCTGTGGGTATACCATATTCATCAATAAAATAATCTCGTAAAGATTTGTTTGAGTTCTTTTTAATTTGATGCAACGAGACAGTGTTTAGTATAGGCTCAATCAAACCACTGTCATTCGAGAGGCAAATTATTTTATACGGCCGCACCCACAGATCCACATTTTCTTCCTGCCAAATAATCTTGAACATCTGTCAAAGCACAATGATATATACAACGAATTCTCGAAGCTGGTGGATAAGCGAGTTAATTACCTGCAGTAGCTGCGTGGCCATCAGCTCTTGTCTCAAATCATCACCACACTTGACAATCGCCGAGAACAGTCGCCAGTTCGATAAATGGCCATAGGGGGAGGACTCGCGTATGAGTTTCTCCTTCATATGCCAGGGTTCCTACACAGCAAACAAGTATTACAACTGCTGCTTATTATAATACGTATGTTTACACAAACCTTTAGAACCGCCGCAGATGGATCCTCAGGATCGTTGCTAAAGGACTTTGTGTTCTCGCAGCTCAAATTGTTGCAGTGCCGAGTCCGAACGTCGCCAATGTTAAAGACAATTGGTGGACCTGTGAATGAAAAGTTGTTATCATCAGAGCTTCTTATCAGTGTTTCTCTTCGCATATTTTACCCTGATCTCTAGAGTCGCATGAGTCTAACGACATCTGCGAGATGGCGTCCCGCTCGCTGATTTTGCGCATGTTTAAGTACTGCGCGGTGATTTCATCATCTTCCTGTGACCAGACATCATCTGCAAGCAGCTGCAACCCGCCCAATGACAGCAGATTGCCACTGCAGCAGCAGCTGTGTACGGCCGGATCTCCGCATTTGCACTCTGCATGCGATTCAATGCCCTTTTTGCGGCGACAGCTGGAACCATGATGGCTTTCACTACAGCTGGGGATGCGGCTGCAGCTTTGATTCAGGCAGACGCCTTCCAAATGTTCCTCGCTCTTGGTGTGCCGCAGCGACGGCATCATCTTCGGTATTAGCGGCGAGGTGTGAATGTCAGGCACCTCCACTACCTCCACGTAAATAATGTACGGAGTTTTGTCTTTGGAATTTAAGACAGCAGTCTTTTCCTCTGTGATGCGTACCACATGATGCGGCACATCCGAGTAAAGCGGCAACCAGACACGAGCGGGCAAATTTTTGTTGATCAGGTTAAGACACATCCGCAGTGCTGAAGTCTTCTCCGCCTTGGACGGCAGCGATGTCAGATTCTTGCCCGCATTCATTAGCGCCTTCATGAACTCCTTTTGCGGGGAAGTCTTTGGCGCACCGCAATTGCAGAATGTGCGATGTCCCAGAAGACCATTAACCTGACCCCGAACCGTTTCAAAACAAGTGCAGCCATTGTCGAAGGCACGTCCTGAGCTCAGATCGCCCAAGCACAGCTTTGCAGGTGCTGCGGGCAGCGTTTGTGTGGTATACGATGGCTCCTGGTATACTCGATGCGTTTTGTTGCCGGAATCTGCGAGCAACACTGTGGCATCGGATTGGGAGCGATGGTGTGTTTTTTTTACGAGAGCAATAGCTGGACTTTGGCTAGATTTGAGTTGGTGCTTGCCCTCTTTCTTCGAGAATATCTCCTTCATGAGCGACAGCTTCGACTTCCTGCTTTTACTGCTGCTGCCCAGCGAGTCCACCTGATGATTATACGCCTCCAAAAGCCAGAGACACTTGAGGGAGAAGTCAACCGACTTTCGGCAACGTATGGTGAGGTAGGGATCCAGCACTTCAGCCAGTTCGTCCATTTCAATATACATTACGATTAGCTGCGGTATATAAAGGTCGACTTCCTGGTCGGAAAAGCTAAATATCTTGTTGCCAATAAAGCTCAGCACGCCTGGCTCCTTCGAGTAGAACAAATAATGCACAGCGAAGTGAATATTGAAAACGGGCGATTCAAAAAACCGCAACAGGCCGCTGGGACCCCGATCGCTGCTCTGCTGGGAGCCAGAAGTGGGCGCATGGTCATTTATATAATATTTCACTACGCCTGGCACGGGCATCTTCAGTTGGTTCAGCGAGCTCATGGAAGCGCTCATCGTCAACGCCGCAGCGTGATTGGTTTCAGTTTTTGCAACCGGCAGCCGCAACTTCAGTGTGCGCTTCTTAATCTGCAGACTTGTTGAAGTATCCAACGTGGACGCAGTTCTACTGGCGTCTGTTGTCGTTTCAGTTGCAGGAGCTTCGGTTGTTGTACCAGCTGCTTTCCTACTGGAATTGGAGCTGAGTAGGCTGAAGAACTCTTTCCTTTTAGAAACGTCTGTGGGGGACTTGGCCGCATCCGGGGAGTTTGACACTCCACTGCTGGGCGTGGTGGATATTGCCGATAAATTGTCCTGCGGCTCGCCAGTCTTCAGCTTGACTGCATTCTTCTTCTCGTGGTTCTCAATTATGCTCTGGGCCGTGCGGAAAATCGCATTCTTGGTGGCACCGAAAAAGTTCTTAAAGAGCACTTGATCGCTTTTACTGTTCTCAGTTGGAGTAGCTATTGGTGTAGGTGTTGCATCTGGGGTCTTTGCGGGCGTAGTCGCTGCTGGTACCGTAATATTGTTGAACGGCGCTTGCGATGTGGACGATGGCATGTGGTCCTCCTCATGGCCTTCTAGCACCGGTTCTATCTCATTGGGTGCTGTTCCGAGCTCCAAGTTAATCGCCGCCTGGGACATGTTCATTACTCGATAACGCAGTCTATCATCCCCATCGCGCGATTTCTGATCTTGCCCCTCTGCTGACGAAAAGGTGCAAGCATCCGATTCTATTGGATTGCAGGCCACCTCGGTAAATTTGGCTTCCACAAAGTCGATGCATTTCTTGGCTCCCGCTTCCGCATTGGCATCCATTGCACCCAGATTGAGCGCCTCATGAGAGTGGCCTATGCGACTAAGGGATATTTGGTCCGACTCCGAGCCACATATAATGCCTGACAGACGAAGGTTGAGGATGGAGGTTAAGTATAAATTATAATGCTTACATATGGTCCATTAAAAAAAGGGTAACTTAGCTTCACATATGACAACTTTACCCATGATAAACTATATCTCATATGCAAATAAATTCCCAAAATATTTTGTATATTTCCTCACCTGAATCATCCGATCCCAGGCTAGCCAGATCCTCGCGCTTTTTGCTGCTCCCTGCACTGCTGCAACTGTTGCTGCTGCTGTTGCAGCCACTTATGTCATCGATCATGTCCTGTGTGTCCCCGGCCAACTCGTTCGGCTTGCTTTGATTTTGCAGCGCTGGACAGGCATTATCTGTAGCAGGAAAAGATCAGTATTAAAACTTCGCTGTCAACCGACTGAAGCTACTCACCAACTACGCTGGGTATATGCTCGATCTGCGGCGGATCCGCTCCTGAACAGTCAGAGGCGACAAGCTCTACATTGGGAGGAGCATCGGTAAGGGCTGGATTTGGATTTGGTGGGGAAGTGGCAAGTGCGGTCGTAATATTGGCTGAGTTTGTGTCAATCTTCGAGCACATATTGCTGTTGAGTTTAGATGGTTGTGAGCAAAATATTGCCTCACCTTCTGCATTGGGTGAGGAAGTCTCCACCTGGAATTGTCATAATATTCAATAACCTTTAACACGCTAGCAAAAGCTTATTTAAGTAAGAATGTTGCAGTCCGAAAACATCTTTGGAGATGTGTCTTAAGATATATCCACCTAGCTTCATTTTCTTTATACGACTTTATATTCCAATCCCAAATCGCGTTTATACGGACAAATAGGCGGGCGGGAAGACATATGGACATTGCATTAACCTAATGGAATCTTTCAACTTTGAGAACGAGTATGCAAATCCAGAAATTAACCTGATTTAGCTTAAAGCTTCACTGCACCAGAAGCGAAGAAAAAGCTTTCTCGCGTTATCGCTCTCTCTCTCTCCCACTCTCTTTGAATTAAATTTAAAAAATTAATAATTTAGTAGTAAATAAAAACGATGAAATAAGAGTACAAAAATAACATTATGAGGTTCTGATTGTTTATATCTAAGGTTTAACTTATAGTGAAAAAATCGAATTTATAGAATTAAAAAAGTGAATCCTAGAATTTGAGTAAGGAATAATTTAGTGTTGATGAAAGAAGTATAACTTAATTTCAATTTTGTATGTGTTATTGCCGCTTCTGATAACCCGGAATATACAAAAATGCAAAGTGCCAAAAAATGTTAACAATAAAAAAGTGATAAGAACAGACTGTAAACATACAGTAACTTTGTATGTATGTGTAAATTCATACGCCCTCACACACACACACACACAGGTTGTATACAAATACGTCCACACACGTGTGTATGTATGTGGACTCGAAACATGTTCAAGTTCACCAGTGTTGACAACAGTCGCTGCATCCGCTGTTGCCAAATTTACTCACCTCGAATATGCGTTGCAGGGCACTGTCGAGACTTCGGTTGCGATGATGTTGCGTGTGGTTGGTGCGTGTGCTGCTCACCTGAGCAACAGGCGCCAGCAATATGCCCATCGATCTACAAAGGTAGGAAAATAAGTCAAATTAAAAGACAATTTCTTTCAAACAAAAATCAATATGGTTTCGTCAGCATTTGCGCTGTCAGCAGGTGCACAAGTGCAATCAATGCAAAACAATAAGCGAGCGCGCGAGCACAAACACACAACACACAAATCTGCAAATACTTATACACGTATTTATGTATATATGAGCACTCACACCATACATCTACACACATACATACATATGTATATGTAGATAGGAATGTTAACGTAATTACTGTCTTTCTACGTTTTGCTGCGCGCAATGGAGAGCTAAGCTGAGCAAGTGAAATTATCAATGTTTAGAAGGTAAATAACAAAACAGAAAGCACAATTAAGAAAAATAAATCACGCAAGAACCAATAAGGGCGAGAGCAACAGGTGCTCGTAATACGAATAGATTCGGTGTGAAATTCTATTTAACTGTTGCTGTTAGCACCATTTTCCATATGCTAATCTAACAGTCATGTTGACGATAATAAATGTTAGTATGCACTGTTACTGTAAACAATTGCTTGAGAAAGATTCAAGAAAACTATTTCAGTATATCTGACTAGGCAACCTTCAACCTAACAAGAGTGATTTAGTCGGGAGGGTCAGACTAGAACCTCTCGCCGAGCTGACGTCACAAATTCCAGTTCCTTTCCACACACACACACACATGCACAAAATGGCAACAAACACAAACGGAACTTTGAGCATTTTACGCTGCGACTGCGCTGCTTCTTCCCTTAGCTGCACACAATGCAAATTCCTTTTATGATTTACTTCCGATCTTAAGACAATTAATGCATAAAAACAACCGAAGTCATTTATTCAATTCAATAAATTGAATATTGTGGATCTGTACATACTGTTAGAGTATATATATGAACCTATTGAAGCTAGACGTGCTCAAAAACAGGATTTCGATATCGATTTCAGTGTAAATTATCGATTACTTGCAAAGAAATTGCCAGCCATGAACCCTCAGATAACCTGCGCTCAAATTTGTGTCTAGTTCTTATGACTTCTGCAAACAGAAACGGGTTCAGGGCATATCGTAACTTACCTGTAATCTAGGCTTAAGTTCCTTTCGTGCTTTGAAATGCTTTTTGGTGATATGCCGCTCGCTTGGGTCCCTGCAAGTTCAACTGTTGTTGGAACCACGCTCAGGTTCGGACGCCCGTGCACGGAGGGCATAGATTGATTAAGTCCACGTATCAGGCGCGGCCCGGATGAGCGTACGTGCTTCGGCGTGCTTGCCACTGAGCTATTGGATAGTCTTGAATTCGTGGAGTGGATGATACAGTTGCTGCTCACGCTACGGCTTTGTATGCTGGGAGGCAGGGTATTTGAGAAATGAGGCATATACTCTCCATGGCCTTTTGACATTGCAGTGGGTGCAAGCCGCATCTGAAAGCGTCCGTCTTCAGTTGAGGTGCACTCAACACGGTGTTCGTCAGAGATCTCGCCAGGATTGCTGCTCCATAGGGAGCAGGTCTGAAGATTTGCGACTGCAGTCGTGGCACTTTGCACTACAGTGCTGTTGCTGTATTCGCTCGAGCTGCTTGTACTGACGCAGGCAACCGTCGAGTTATCCGAATCATCATCGTCATCTGGCGGCGGAACTGGACTGACTGGCAGCGGATTAGGGCTGATGATGGCGTGGTTCGCCTTGCCGTTCATGTTATAATCAGAGTGCCCTTTCACACAGGACAATCGCACTAAAGCGGGCGCACAGTAATCAACAATATCGGTGCTGGCGACAGCTGCATCCACGGCCGGATGATACACATTGCCGTGCATACGCAGCTCGTCCTCGGCAGCTATGACAATATGGAGCCTCGGCTCAGTGACAGTCTCGGGTATTGGCAGACGGTATTGACACACATCGCTAGGAGCCTCTGCGTTCGATTTAGTAGCGCCAAGGATACCTAGGTCGCCGTTTTGCATACAGTCTGATGTTGGAACATTACACACAGCCGAGACTGTTGTTGAGCAGGGCGTGTTGCTCTTCTTGATTTTATATGGTGAGATGAGGGAGTTCATTTTCTGATTGGATAGGTCTTGTTCTTTGGTTCAGAGCGGGAGCGTTCCTCCTTGATACTTGTTGCTATATTCAGTTCCTTTCGCCAGCTTCGTCCGCATTATAACCTGCTCCATTTTAGGCTGCTGCTTTTGTTTATTGTGGGCAGCCATGGATTTAGAGGCTTTGCCGAATATTTATCCTTGATTTACCGAGTATGCGAGTGAATTAGTCAGGTGCCCTGCAATCAACAAAGAGAATTGTGAGTTTAAGCAAATTTATAGATGATGCACGTCTTACTTGAATTAGAGCTGTTTCTTTCGACTTCCGACCCTGCTCTCGTTTCCAATTCATTTGTCTTATGTGTGCTTATATTCATTTCTATTTCGAAACAATAACAAATCCCTTTGTGCTAGATTTGTAGCGCAGCTAGTCGCATAGTCTCGGATCTTAAATTAGTTTTCGCCAATGAATTAACCGATAAAAACAAAACTGCATACCACAGATTGTTAATTTTAATCGCAATTAGTGGGAACAAAGAGCTAGTGCTAGTGATGGTAAAAACAAATCGGAGCATCAATGTATCGAAAATCGATGTGTGCTCAGCATGGGTCAAGTGTTATCTCTAGATAACGGCACAAAACCGTTTACAAAACAAAACATTACGAAAAACTTGTAGATACTTATTCTAGCTTCCCCTTTAAAATCAAAAAGTACCAATTCGAAAGTAGTTTTCAATTAAGCGTATATATTTATACGCCATCTAATCATTTTGTCGTTTTTTTTTATTTGCTAAGCTCAGTTTCACATCACTAGATACTGTATATGGGCACAGCAACTACGGAATATTAGGGTGTGGCACACCTGCGCAAACTCTACACATTTAGAAAAGCATAAAACTGCAGACATAAGGAACACCCGAACTCAGACTTTGTAGACTCTGTCTAAAAAATGATCTCAACATAAGTTGGTCGGCATTTGGGATTCCCACGCCACCAAAATTTTTAACATTTTCAAATAAATTGACTAAGAAGAAAGTGAAACACCTTAAAACTTGAAAATTAAGTAAAAACTAAATCAGTTTCAGGAAGCCCACTGTAATTTAATGCCTTGTGCCTTGCTATAATGAGAAAAACCCGGTGTATGCGTGCTCATGAACTTAACGCAAATTAGTTTGAACACAAATAAACCATATGCGAGCTTGTAATTCCGATAATAATCCCTGGTTTTAATTATATTAATTGTGCAACAAGCATAATCTACCGCATCATAGTATTTATTTTACTTTGCAACAAGTATAATCTACCGCAATACAGTATTTTTTGATTTTCGGTAAATTTGACCATTTAAAAACTGGTCACACGGCTCGAATTTCATATAAACATAAAAACAAGATGCTACCTGGCGTTGGCGTATTCGGAACAGGTGAAATCGCCAATGTCCTGGTGCCGCTGCTACGAGAGAAGGGTTTCGAAGTGAAGGCCATTTGGGGGCGCACACTAAGGGAGGCCAAGGAAACGGCCAACGCACAGAATGTAGCATTTTACACAAACGTCATAGACGAAGTGCTTCTACGAAAAGATGTCGATCTGGTATTTATAGTGTGTCAGCCGTTTCTGCACGCGGAGATTTCGGTGAAGGCGCTGGGCATTGGGAAGCATGTAGTATGCGACAAGCCAGCAGGTCTTCATCAAGCAGATGCCATGAAAATGGTGCGTGCTTCCCAGTACTATCCGACACTCATATCTCTGGTGAATCATCCACTGAGGTTCTTGCCCGCATTTACCCAAATGCGACGCTGCCTTCAGGAAGGACTTATCGGACCGCTAGGGGACGTGGTCCTGATGGATGTGCGTGTGCAAATGGGCACACTCTTTCCCGAAAAGTACAACTGGATGTGTGATGCCCAGATGGGCGGTGGTGCACTCAATCTTGTGGGCAGTGTGGTGGATTTGGTGCACTTTTTGTTGCAACAACATGCAGTGCGTGTGCATGGTGTACTGAGAGCCTACACCAAAACAACAGGGGCCATCAATGGCATACGCCAAATAACAGCTCCGGATTTCTGCAATTTTCAAATGGAACTGGCCAGTGGTACGCTCGTTACGGTGGCTCTTCATAGTCACACGGTTCCGACGAAAACCTTTTCCCAAGAAGTACTCGTCTATGGCAGCAAAGGTCATCTGGTTGTGCGAGGCGGCGACCTGTTTGCCCTTAAGGAGTCTCAACAAAAGGAGGAAGCCGTCTATGTGGATGTCCAGGACTTGCACATATCTACCAACAATTCATTACTTCCGCGTCCATACATCAAGGGTATGTGCAAAATGGTAGGTGCTCTCAAGGAAGCCTTCAACAGCAAAGAGTCCAGCTGGATAAAGGCGCCTGTCTCCACCGCCGCCACATTCGAAGATGGCCTCTACGTACAGGCCGTCGTCGAAGCTATACGCAAGTCGAATGAAACCCGTCAGTGGCAGCGCGTCGAATTGACCACAGATGCGCCCCTCAACCATGACCAGATTATTAGGTATGGATATGCGCGGATGCCCACCATGTGAATGGGATGCGCCTTTAAACTTTGAACGTATTTAACTTATTGTTTCGGCATTTACATTTTGCATTAATAAACCACCTTTAGATTTTTAAGATGACATAATTGAGACAAACACTGTCTAAAGTTCTTGTAATATCTTTCAGCTTTTAGAGATTTGACAGGTTTCTGATCTGAACGACAGGTATAAATAGGGAAAAATATCTTCACTAAATAGTTAGTCAAAGCATAATAATGCATATGATTCTTGATCAAAACGAACAATCGATATAACCATGTCCATCTATATGTTTTTATGAAAACTAGCTCAGTTTTAAGGCAATGTCATGAGACTTCGCAAAGTTTCCTCTTGCAAGCAGAAATAATGTCGGAATCGGCCATACTATATACCATAGCTCTTTCAACAATTTATTTCTTCAATCCTTAAACCATCCACTTACTGTTTCATTTAGCTCTACAAAGCCCGATGCATTTGTGGATCATGTTATATGACTCGTATAGGAGTAGGTGCTCCTGCTCATCCTGATGCACTTTATGTAAAAGGAGATGTATTCCTCAGCCCGTTCGGAGCATCTATATAGTATACCCTTTTTCCTAACCAGAAAAATACACAAAATTGCTTACAAAATTTGTTATGTGTTGTGTGTTTTGTAATTTTGAACGGAATAAGTTTTATTTGGCATGCTAAATTGAAAAAATATATAAACGGCAAGCTTCTATTTCGCATTAGCGCTAATTTGGAATATCTATTATACATAGTTGGGTGTATTGAATTTGTAATTTGTTCGTTCCTTTTTGGTATATCAGCACTTATTAAAACTAAATTTAATGCTACACTGGGAGAATAAAATCCACTACCCTAAAGCCTGTTGAGTACAATTAAGCCAATGCTATTATAAATAGTTCGTATTAATAATAATATTGTCTTTGATGCAAGATAAACAGTTAGACATAGAAACATAAATGGATAATTTGCTTGAGCTTAATGTAAATAAATAGTTAAGTTAAATATACAATTATTTGAAATTGGTTTTGAACAAAACGAACAAACTCAAACGGTAATAAAATAATAAAAATAAACAAACTATAGACACCAGCTATGTATACGCATAAAACATAAAACTAAACTTAAATATACAGCCTAGGCTAAGCAACTAACTAAACGACAAGAGTATACCCTACCGCTTGTTCAGCTTGCGCCAGAGTGTGATCACCGTCAGCAGATGCATCACGGCAATTACAAGGGCCATTAGCAAGACGCAGTCGGACATGTGCACATCGGAGATCATCATGTACTTAAGAAAGACTTTGGGACTGCGGAAGTGACAGTAGATGACATTCTCCGGGCACTCCAGAAATTCACGATCCAAGCCATAAAAGGCGTTCAGCGCACCATGAAAGCCGGCCCGGAAATAGCTCAGATGCCACATCCAACGAAAGAGCGGCGTTATATCAATATATCGGGTACAAAAGCCAAACACGGAAAACATGACCGCCAGTATTGGACCCAAAAAGACGGCAAGCTATAAATAGATAGTTCAATAGATAATTACATTCAAGCTTTATACGTTCAAATATTGAAAATATCATATACATACCTTTGTTGGCAGCGTGGCACCTACAAAGAAGCCCCAAGCCTGTGCACTGAGGCTAGCCAATATGGCCAGCAATATGAAGTAATACATCCGGAAAGGCTCTCCACTATCGTTGTCCGTTAGCCGTGCGCTGATAACAATGTACAAAGCCGTACATAAGCTCTATAAGTACAAGATTATTATAGCATGATCTTTTAACTGTGGCCTAAATATTCCGAGTATTTTCACATATTTTATTATATACAAACAAACAACATACAGGGATTCCTCTTTGGTTCAAACGATGTCGCATTATCGAATATACAGAAAAGTTGCCTTAAGACTAGCATCGAAAAGCGACTAATAACTATATAAGAATGCTTATTATAGTTTGGCGAAACTTACTTGAAAGGGTATCTCAAAGGAGATCAGCGACAGAAAATAGGGTCCCAGCTTGTACCAGCGATTGAAGTGCTCCCGGGTCAGCATATCGATCTCCAGCGGAACTGCAGTAAGAAAATTCAACATATTTATTAATAATTTACTCTAAATTTAGCACATTTTAAGGGACCAAAGGGAACGACGCCAATGACCTCTAAATGCATGTAGGTCGGATCATTGCACCGAACGCCATATAAACTTACAACGTTTCGTAATTCGCAAAACCAGTTAAATTGATTTCAAAATAAATGGTTAACGGTAGATAAATTAAGTTTATAAAGTGCCGCTTACTATAAAATATCGCTACTGGCAACTTTGACAATCTGTTAACTATCTGCGAATCCCATCGGTTTTCAATTAGCTCCACCTTTACTTTATGACCAGCATACTCTCCTTACTGTAATCCATTGTTAACTTATCCATTGCAAATGTGAACATACCAACTGTCGTGTCCGCCAAGATCTTAACCTGGTTCTAACCCCTTTATCTCGGTTGTGGTCTAATCAATAAATGAAGTCGAACAAAGTCCATCTTAACAATTATCCTTTATACAAATTGAAGCGAGGAAAACACTTCTCCATTAAAAATAAACAGATGCGAATTATAGCAAATTATTTAAGCAAATATTAAAGTAGATAAACTTTTTCCAATTTTTTTTAATACAAATATTAGGCTCAAAGCTCTTGCGCATCTTTCTGCCTTTTTTTTTTACCATTCCGACAATCGGATCAAACTCTTTTATACTTATATCTATTTTTAGATTTAAATATTTAGTTCTATGTTTGGCCTATATTTTTAAATATGAGTTTTAATTGTAATTTGATTTTCACATCACATTAAATTAACATACGCGCCCAACTGTATCTGAGAATGCCTCCAGGTTATCTAACGCTCAGATCTTTGTTTGCATGCAGTTAACAGGTAAATCGACAACAAATTGCATTGGATTGGCAAACAGCTCAGAAGCTAGTTGGCCAGCCGATAGTTGGCATCGCGTTTTTGGCTACTTACAGGTCAATACCACTGCCATTTTGCCGGTGTAGACCAAGAGCAGTATGGAGCCATACAGGTAGACGTAGTTGCCGAGCACGGAGTGCGCGCTGTTTCCCACGTTCATGTACAGGTAGCCGAATATAACGCCAATGAAAATGTGTGAAGCGATCCGGGCCAGCAACAGAAACTGCAATTAAAGCGAACAAGCATTAAACATGGTGGCCAAGTAACTTTGTAGAGACACAGCTACTTATATTCATGTGTCCACGTACTTATTCAACAAGAGGCAGCCGACCTGGCGCAACATTAACATTAATCTATGTGAAGGTCGCCATCGCGTCAGTTTGTTTTCACGATATGGCCACAGTCGAGTCAACATTGATGCCAATACACCCATATACATATATCCATATATATATATATATATAAGTATGCACTTTAGGCAATGTGTGTGGGTAGAGCAAGAAATCGATTGGCAGACGAAAACCAGTAAGAATCGAAACGAAAATATTTACTCAAAATTCCAAGCCTCTGGCACTTTTAGTTTCCCAGATTGTCTGATCAAGACGCAATGGAAGCCGTATACCCTCTCAACCTATTTGCCATGAGTACAGGGTATACGCATAAACAAGTAAGCATATATGTAATTACTATTCAAAATCAATTGGAGATCTCTCTTGATTTATGAGTTGGTAACTCTCAAACTGCGCATGCTGTTACCCTCAAACTGTGACTTTTAGCTGCATTTCATTATGCAGTTTTTTGTGGGCGTGTTCACCATATTTTTGGCTCGATATTGCGCAAAGGTCACGTGTAGCTTTAAGCTGTTTACCTCGCCCCTTAATGGGCGTGTTCGAGAAATATTAACACCATGTCTGACGCGGATATACACAAGTATATATGTTTATTTTGTGTTCTTTTTTTTATTTTGAGCAACAGGCCTCTAACTTTAATTGTGGACATTGCAAAAAGCATTAAGCTCTTGTTTACATTGCGAGCCGCGCATAAAAACTTGCTTCACTTAATGGTTTAAGCCACGTAAATTGCACTGCATTACCAAAACGACATGCCTGGCAATTTGCCAAAAACGACGATGACCTTGCTGATGTTTATTAACAGGTATTTTCTTTTACTCACGTAGCTGCGTCTGGCGCAGATCAAAATGCGCTGCATCAGGAGCAGATATTGCATGAGGAACGATGCCGAGCTGACATCGGTTCGCAGCTTCTTCTTCGACGTCTTCGCCGTCTGGTCGGGGTTGGGGTCGGGGTCGGCAATTGTCCCCTCGGCCAGCGGTTGGTCCAGCTCGTCTGGCGCTGGGGCATTGAGCGCCTTGATCTCCTCCAGTCCAAGCTCTTGCTGGGACGGCTCAGCATAGCTGTACCTCGCTAATTGCGACATGCCAAGCGTGGATAGCTCTTGAGACGACGTATTAAGTTTCTTGCCACTCATTGAATCTGTAAATAATATGCATATTTTTTCATTATTTGTTTATTTAGCTAAGTGCCCGAATAAGGAATACCCTACATCCAGTCAAGCTCTTATGACTTTGAGATTTGCTAGAAAAAACCAAATCTCAAAATCGATGCAAATGCGAGAAGAAATCGAAAAATGAATATATATAGCTGAAGTATCCCCCAAGATCGACTGGCTGTCAATGAGACATAGCTAGATTATCGTACTTCTTCGTGCTTCTCAAAACTATTAAGAACTCAAAACTATTATACTGTTATACTATTATACTATGATGCCTCATTTAACCCGTTATAAACTCTACTCTTCTCTCTCTCCTCTTCTTCGACGTCTTGACTTATATCATAATCGTAAATTCTAAGAATTTCTGAGAAACTTACCTCTTATAGTTGTTACGATTCGCGAGACATTTAAATGGTTCGTGTATGGCTTTTGATGGGCATCCTCGTAATACTTTTTGTTCGCTGCCTCTATCAGATTGTTGAGGTCACATTGGTGTTCCCCAACGGCTACCTCCAGCACTGTGGTTAGAGAGTAGAGAGTAAGTGACTATTGGCGTGAAAAATTGAACCTGTGCACGTACAGTAATCCGCCGGGTTGTGGTAGCTGGGGCACACGA